TGTACAGGGTGATACAAAAATATTTTTGCACTAATGTTGTTGTAGTTTTCCCTTAAAACTAAAAAAAAATTATCTATAATAATTTATAGAGCTCATACTTTTTGTACCATTTTTGTTTAAGATTTTACTATTAATTTAAACTGAGTTATTTTTTAGACTTTATATCGTTGGATAAGGTTGGATAATAAAGTTAAAAATTATTTTTGACTTCAATTTCTAAATAAAATAAATACATATAGTTTTGAAAAAGACACTATATACTTCAATTTGAAAAACAAAATAATAGTGATGTTATTTAAAATTTGAAAATTTCTATAGTAAATCTACAGAGCAAACAAAATATAAACCTTCCCATTTAAAAAACTGCAACATTAAGTGTAAAATTATAGTAGAATCACCGTGTAATATCTATTAAAACAGTTTGCAAGAAAGAATGAGGAAAAAGATGTTAACTTGATTTGAAGATTTTTCGGTATACTGGATCACCCTGTATACAGTATATATTGTAAATTATCATATAAAATTAAAAAAAAAATATTACAATTATTTAATAAAAGAAAAAAAATTATAAGATGCAACTGATTGGAGGTTTTAAAAAGATTTTTTTAGAAAATATAGGCAACCAACAAATCATCTTAACTTACAAAAACCCGAAAAAAAAAATTAAAAGTTTGATAACCACAGCAAATAGGACACAATAATATTTATAATCAATATTAGGTGTATTCAATCAAATTGAGGAGTGTTTTATCTTTTTTTTCTTTTAGCACAATCAAAAACATCTAAAAATTAGAGCAACAAAACCAATACCAAATAATATTATAATTTAACAATTACCTTACTCTGCAAATTAAATTATTTAATTAAATATTTGTACTGAAAAAAAAACACATTATATTGATTATATTACATATAAAAGTAAATTGTAATATTAAAAAAAATGTAACAGTTAAGTTTTACATAAATATAGAACAATTAGAAACAACTGCAAAACAACAATTAGATGTACATGTAGCATCCATATATTTATTAACAAAATATAATTTGATACTAATTATACTGTGCTTTTATTATTAGATGAAAAAATAAATATATATTTTTTATTAACTCTGTTTTTTTTATTGTTATTCTAATGAAATAATTTTCAATATTTTACAACGATCTAAATTTTGTATTAAGAAACAAGGTAAGTAACAATAGTAACAATAAGCTAAAAATATTAAGTACCTATAGAAAAATGTATTAGCGAAAAAATTACTCTAAACTCAAACAAGAATGATTATAATATTTAAATAATTAACGTTAAATCAACAAAATGAAATATTCAACTAAAAAAAATAATGACTGAATTTTTATCCGACTTTATATTTAAGAAGCGTTTGCAAATAACTAACGTCAAACACAAAGTTTTTAAGTTGAAATATCACACAAAATATTAAAAAAGAAATGCTATAATAAACAGATGGTGCCCCATGTACTTCTAGTTAGCTAACTACAAAACTTCAGGTAAGAAGAGTGAATATAAAATAAATGCGATAATAAATATTATTTAAAAAAATAACTGGTTAAAATAAATTAGTTTCGCTCATTTTATATTATGGCGAATGCGCTAGGCTATCCTAGAATATATTTAGTTAGATACAATATGAAATATTCAACTAAACAACTAACTGTCTGTAAAAAATAAAAGAATGTGTATTATATTTACTTTAGTATACAGGTTGCCCCGTTTTAAAAACATACATTTCATACCAATAACATAAAAAATTGACAACTTACAACATTTTTGCACTGTTAAAATTAAAAAGCATTTGTGATAATCTTTAAAATCAGAAAAAATGTGCTATTTAATACACTCCTAATATACAGGGTGTCTTATTTAAACATTAAACATGTTTATACCAATAACTGTAACAATTGAGAGCTTATGACACTTTTGGAATTAGGACAAACAGCAATGTTATAGGTATGTAAAAAATAAAATAAAGTTGTTAAGTTAATTTGTATTATGTTATGACAGATGCGCTAGATTTTAGAATATACAATAAAAATCGGTATTAGCGACTGTTTCATGACACACCCTGTACTAAAGTCTTTGTTGAATGAAATGCGCAACTAAAAATGTCAGTCCACGTGTGCTATTTATTTATTATCGAATTTGTTCCATTTCGCTGTATTACAATTATTACATTATTATTATTACAAATACATACAAAATGGCTTACGTTATATAGTCTGTTCAACGAGCCGAAGAAGATTTTGACAGAAGATATCCTTAAAAATGACAGCAAATACAATTTACCTGTTAATTAAAATGACAAACACAACTGTCACTGTCAGGGATCCTCTCGTTGGATAGACTATTACACATGACATAAAACAATGCAAAATAGTAGGTATATCGATTTATTAGGAGTAAAAATTATACTTTTTGTGGCAAGGCTGTACGTAATAAAAAAATAATAAAATAATAATTAATTAATTAAATTTCCTAAATTTCATTTTTACTCTGAATAGAACGTGCTATTTTTTCAAACGTCACAAATAACTGATGCAACGATTTAAACACAAAGAACGATGCAAATAATATAAAAACATTTAATAGTTATTTTTTATACAAGACGATAACATGGCATTTTATCGTCGACCGAAAAGATTAATTCAAGAGCGATGAAATCGCGAGTGAATTTATTTCGGGAGACGAAAATGCAATTTTATCGTCGTGTATAAAACAATATTTCTTTCCATAGCGAGTTACGTTTTAAAAAATATTCAGAAATTATTATTTCAAGGAATTTATTACGAGTAGAAAAAATATTGTGCTGGGTTAGCGTTGGTTTCTATGTAATTTGACAAATAAATAAAGCTGTCTCTTTAGTTGTCAGTTTTGAATCAATATTTTTTAATTCTCTTTCGTGTCGATTGCTGATTGAATTGGAGCCAGAAATGGCCAGAGAGAAACTAATAACTAAAGTGAGAGGGCTTGTGGAATAGGGCATTTCGTAGACAAGTTTATTTTGTTACCGCGCATCCCAGACGCGCATAGCGTTTAGGCGGTCAAAAAAGGAAGTTTTCAACTTTGCAAGTTAAACATTTGACAGGATTAATTAGATTGTCAGTAGCTTTTTCTATTTCTTAGCTCTAGAAGGAGATAACTAAAATCTGTTGATAATCGGAGTAATAAATTGTTTTTAACTGAATGTGCCTGTTCTTTTAGCTTGTCAGAAGAGAAGATTATTGTCATTATTGATTATTTCAGGTTCCACGATTATTCGGCATTTTTGTAATTTTTGTTTTGTGGTTGAGATCCAGAAAAAACGTTTCCTTTAAAGGTTTTTTAAGGTAATTATTTTAACATACCTAATAGTAATAGTGAGTGCATATAATAATCGTACATTGCTAATTTACATAAGCATAACCTATAGGATAAATCCGATTGTAAAAATAAAATATCACATTCTTTTCTGATACCTATGGAACGACTAGGTATTATACCTGGTACTATTACCAGTAATACAAATTATTTTCTTCAACTGATAGGTTCTTGTTATAGAATAAAGTCTATCAAAAACATTGAATACCTGCGGGATACCTACAGATACTCTGTGCGAGCTCCCATCCGTGCTTCCCTGTTCACTGCCAACCAAGTTAGATAAAAAAGATATTGAAGATTGCAGCCTTGAGTTGGCAAGGAGTATGGAGTTAAATAAATTATTATGTTCCTACACAGTATTTTATTTATAGGTTTTAATACTTTAAAGTCTAATAATAAATTTTCGTTGTCAACAAAATAATCTAAAAAAACTACGAATATTTCTTATTATAAGCTTGAACGATTAAGATTCGGTTCAAATATACAAATTTTAAATTTTTGGCGCCAGTATATAGGTATGAATGCAACCTACTATATCGGTAATGCGCTCATAGTTCGGGTTAGACGCCAAAGGCCGCGCCACTAACACAGTCTTCAAAAATTAACGTTGATCGGTCTCTCTCACTTTAGTTATTAGTGTTCTCTCTGGAAATGGCTCAAAATGAAATAAGTAAATTACCAACAGATATTCAGGCTGAGGCGACAAAGGCCATTTCCAAACTACTTCCATTTAAATCCCGAATAACTTATGAAAATGAATACAAAAATTTTCAAAAATGGAAGCAATTAAAACGCGCGAAAAAAACAAAAGAAAAAAAAAATATGAACACATTTGAAGACAAAATGGATTATTTTACTAAAAATAATCATTCCAGAACTTATAAAAAATGATTAAATCGACCATTAAACTATTAAATTATCATCTGATCGTAGATATAGTTAGATAAATTCCATAAAATTTAGTTTGTGTTAATACAATAAATAAAATATTAAAAAATATAAACTTTGGAACCAAAATAATACTTGTGTTCATAGAGTTATAGTGACGCAGCTGCGCAAGTATAAAATTTATAATTTTGATAATCCGAAATAAATGAGTAGCTTAGGAAATTATAAATAGTATAAGACAAAACTAATTAAAGAAGTACTACTATAAATAATTGGTATTGATACAAACTAATAAAGATTGTCTTTAATTCTATTAAAACAATTTAATTAATAATTACAATATCTAATGACCTTTAATGAATGCAAAAATAAAAGATAAATGAGATTGAAAAAAGGCTTAAGAGATGAAAAATTATAACAGATTACTATTACATTGCTCAACATATTTTTCATAAAGATTAATGCATAGATTTTAATGATTTAAAATTAATCAAACATGCCTCAAACTAGAGGCAATTAGATAATAAATAGAGCATTAAAATAAATAAATATAAAGGCAATATAAACAGAGATAATGGTCCTATTTATAAAATAAAGTATTGTTCTTAACTAGTGTTTTATTTTGCAAAGGTTTAGGAAAAAAAAATTCTGTCCAGATTATCAAAATTTTACAAAAAATTAACATTAAAATGACGCCTGATATAATTATATAGTAAGAAGACAAAAACCAATAAACAAATTTATTGAAACAATAACACTATTAATGAAGCTAACGAACCTTGGTGAGGCATTGAGGAGTATTGAGTCTGCTTTATGTTGAGCGAAAGAGGAAAGTGAGGAGTAGGAGAAACTGTTGATATCCATTGTTAAGAAAATGTCGAGATACCTAAAAAATAAAATAAAAATAATATTAAAAAAATGAATAAAGCGATCTATGTAAAAATTAAAATAAATATATTTTTATTAATGCAATAACTATGTTATTTTATATTTTGTATTGTTAGTTACCCTATGAGAAAAAAAAAGCATCATAATGGCTTTTAAAATAACAATTGATGACAATTATTTCTGCCAGGTAGACCACAATAATATATCATTTATAAAAAATTGGTATAAAAACTTGTAAAAAATCAAAGAATAAAAAGTTAAAAAAATTCAAAGTTCAAATTTTTTTAAGTTAAGGGTTGAAAAATAATTGGAATGTTTGAAAACTTTTTCCTTTTTTTTAAATTTAAATATTATTTTTGACAAGGTTTTATATCAATGTTTAATGAATTACATAAAGAAATAGACGTTAAAAAATATATATTAAAAAAATATATAACTATGTAAAAAGTAAAATAAATACAGGGTGTCCCAGAAATAAGTGCAAATATTTTAAGTGGTGGTAGATCTCGATAAAAGAAACATATTTTCTCTTTATCGTTTTTCAAATAAGTCCAAAATAACGGAGTTATTTTACTTCGAAAATTTCCAAAAAAAAAATATTTTTTGCTAAAATTTTGAGAACCACTAGATCTTTTCTGGATTTTCTCTTGAAAATTTAATCTAATACCTATGTTGCCATATTATCAAGAAATTATGTTTTTTAACTAAAAACTAAAAAAAATTCCAAAATTTTTTTTAAGAAATTTCGAATTTTCAAAATTTTTTTTTCGCAAAAAAAACCTCATAGACGTGTTTCTGGGGTTGAACTATACTACCAGTTAAAATATTTGCACTTATTTCTGGGACACCCTGTATATATTTTTATCGGCAAGCACATTGATTTGTCAAAGCTTAAAAAGTATAAATATGTAAACGAATTCAAAAAGTACGTCCTTCCTTAAATTAATAATTTATATAATCTCTGAGAAAAAAATCAGCATCACAGTGACCTTTGGAATGACAAATGATAACAATTTCTACCAGGTAGGCCGCGATATATATCATGCAGAAAAAATTGTCATAAAAACTTATCAAAAATTAAAGGATAAAAAAATTAAAAGAAAGCAATGTTTATATATTTTTATGAAAACCTTTGCATAATAATCGGTATGTTTGAAAACTTTTTATTTTGTTACATTTAAATATTACTTTTGACAAATTTTTATATCAATTTTTAATAAATGACATATAAAGGAATACATATGTCAATATATATTATAGGAATAGATGTTGGCCTCATAGACCTGTGCAGCTTGAATATTATGAAAATTTATCATAATTTTCAAGCTTGTCGATGAAATTTAGTAAGAAAAAAGAGATAAATAACTTACCATTGATAAAGGACTGCGACCACTTTTTAACAGCTATTAAGTACAGTCCTAAATGGACTTTCTGAGTCTTTTCCTGCAAATTTCATTCCATTTAAAGCTTTCGACTGTCCACCATAATATTTGCAGATAGTACGGCTTGTGGATTTTTAACAGCCAATTGTCCCATCTTATACCTAAAATTCCAAAAAAATATTAATTAAATTTCTACTATACTAATTTTTGAAGATTTTTGAAAACAAGATTAATAAAAAACAAAACAAAAAAGACTAATCAAAATTATATTTATTAAAATATATATTTATTGCGTTTATTCTAGTGGGAACTTTAATATATCGTCAAGGTGTGTGTGTGACGAGTTCTGTAATTTCAAACCAGTTTTGAATAGCGAATGTTGACAATTTGGCGAAGGATTTTTTTTAAATAGTTAATTGTGTGTTGTAATCGGTATAAATTGTGACAAAATAAATCCGTTAAGTATTTTATCCTGAGTTTAAATTAGCGGACCCACGGAATCCATAACAATATACAACCAGTAATACAGTATCAGCATTTTATTTTGTCCTGCCTATTTTTAATAATTGTTAGCTGTTCTAATATTGGAACAAAAGCGCTCGAATATTAGAAAATTTTAAAAAGTCCAATGAAATTTTATAAGATAGATAAATAACTTACCATTGATAAAGGGCTGCATCCACTCTAACAGCTATTAAGTACAGTCCTAAATGGTCTTTTTGAGTCTTTTTCTGCAAGTTTAATTCCATTTAAAGCTTTTTGATGTCCGCCATAATATATTATTTGCAACTAGTACTACTTGTTGACTTCAAACAGCAATTATCCCATTGTATACCTAAAATTCAAAAAAAGTATTAAGTAATTTTTTAATGAATCAATTTTAAAGATTTTAAAAAAATATATATATTAATATTTAGAACTTGTTTAGAACTAGGTCAAATCATAAATGTATGGCTATTATACCAATTTAAATAAGTCTCAAACAATAAAGATCTTAAACAGACTCTAATAAAAAATAGTTATAATTTTTATATTAATATTAGCGGTTTTAACGATCGAAAAAAATATAAATAAGGTATCTGCTGTACTAAAAATATCAAAATAAAAAAATGAACTTATTTTTACCATACCGTAATTTTATTGTGCTATCTTAGTGGAAACTTTAATAATTATTAAAACCAGATTTAAAAACTGCATTTTTGTCCAAGATCGCTGATATGCAACCAGTAATACAGTGGCTGTATTTTATTTTGTCCTGCCTTTTTATTATTGTTTTAATGGTTTAATTGAATACGATGGAAAATTTAATATTTTTATAAAATTTTTAAATTTTATAAGAATAATTTGAGAGGCATAACTTACCATTATTAAAAGGCAACAGGTGTTAAGTCAATCCAGTGAATGTCATTTTTCTGTCCATTAAAGATTATCCATTAAAACTGGAACTTGGACTGGAAACGTCCATTAATACCAATTTGTATTGCTTACTAAAAATTCAAAAAATAAATAAGTAAATTTTTATAAAGTCAGTTGCTTCACACATTTTGGAATAAAAAAATATGTTTTTTTAATATGTTAGGTAGATATTAAAAAAATAAACGCAATAGTAACTCTTTAAAATATTGTCAAATATGCATAGATTTTTACAAAAAGAAAACATACTAAATAAAATTAAAATTGTCTGATACAAATTTGTAAATAACTACAAAGATTGAAAAAAAATATATTTTCTTTTCAATCTCAATCTTATTTTATTTTGAATTTGAAGCCTACAATTTTGTAGTTAAATACAAAAATTGTAGCCTTAAAAAATAATACAAAAATAAAAATAACTTACCATTTTCATAGCGCAATGGTACCGAAGGCCAATCAATCTAAGTACTATTGATTGTATCTTGAAATTGTCATTTGTAGGTAAGATTTTCAGTATCATTCCATTCAAAAAATTATGTACAGTTCTAACTCATTTGCAGATTTGTCGCCCAGTACATCACTCGAACAGATATCTAAAAATAAACAAATATTAATAAGTATATTAATTTGTATCAATGTAGAAAATTAAAATAAATAAGAAAACATTATAATATCAATATAGATCGGCAAAATATAAAATTAAGTTGATTTGAATAAAAAAATTCTAATAAATTTAAAACAAATTAAAAAGTTATTAAAATATACATATTATGTGTAAAATATGTCATAACTTCCAAGCTTCCCAAAAACTTTAATAGAAAAGAAAATAATGTGAAAAAAAACTTACCATTTTTGAGAGATATCTGCGATGTTGAAGTCATTTGTGAGCCTTTTCCCAGTTTAAATTATGTCAAAACTTCTTGGATGTTTTTGATAATTCATCCAAGTTGTTATATTCATCCAAGTTGTTTAATACATAAATAAATGAAACTTGATGTCCAAGATACCAATAACATCTATAAAAAAATAAAAGTTGTGATAAGTATTTATTTTTTGTAACTAGATGAAAAAAATTACCTTGATACAGTTGCTCCAAATTTCATTCAAAAAACTTTCGTTACAGTGAACAAAATCCTCCTCCTTTCCTCAAACATCTTCTATCTCCTTTCCTTCTATTTCAAAGCAATCCTCTTCCATCTTCTCTGCCCTCTTCTATTTTCCAAGTCTCACCAATTCTTATTCAACTACTTATATAACTAACTTATACAAATTTCAGGCGTCTTACAAACATTTTTTAAAAAGGGGGAAAAGGGATATAATGCTACAACAAACGACTACGCTAGCGCACCTACCTAAAAAAAGAAAAACACTTTTTTTAGTCAGAGAAAATGATAAATATAAAGTTATATAAATTTACCTGATGGCATCTAGAACATGGCCCTAATCCTGCTGTTGTTCCCCAAAAAAAATCATTCCAAAGCAGTTTAGTACTAAAAAGATTTATGCAGGAACAAACTGAATTTAATTTTAGTAACAAAAATAAATTACTAATACTTTAATTCTAATTATAATGTAAAATTACATTATTTACTAATTTACATTTAATTAAAAATCATTATTTAAAAAATTAAATAATATTATCAATTTTAAAATAAGACGAAAAATAGTTATTTTCAAATATAATAGAAAAACAATATGCTACCTAATTGTCTCTTTGGAGTTATTTTTTTATTACCCTTTTATTATTGCTAAAAAAACTTTATATTAAAGCCTTGTATAGAGTAAGAAAAAAAGTAAAAATGAAATATAAAAATTGCAAATTAAAAAATGAGTACTTAATGCAACATTCTGTAAATGTACAGAACCTAAAGTTACTGCTTTGGAACCACGACGCGAACCGACTTTTGAAGTTCTCCAAGCCATACTGTATCACCTGTAAGAGAACAAAAATTTTAGAATATTTTTAACAAATACATATGCTAGAAGAAACAAAAAACAAGCTATAGACAACAAAAAAAAATAATGTAAAAATACTCACCATCATATCTTGCTTAAGTTCATTTTCAGTCCCACCATAATAATTATACGGCGAAAAAAACAGTGGCGTCTCACTGCTATGGGGCACATCGAATGCCCCCAACTCCATGGACTTCGGTCGATCCTGTAGAGTTGACAATAAACACGTTTTCCAGGTATTCGACGGTGCCTGGAACAATCCGAAATTTTTGGGACTGATCATATGCAGCATGTAGATAGAACTTCTGACTTCTTCAATCTTGCTTTTTAAAATCGCGCTGCGAACCCGGGTTGTCCTAAAAAAATGAAAAAAAAAATTAGTTATTAAAGTAACTACAAAGTTAAATTAGAATTTAAACTTATATCTACTATAAGTTTTAAAAAAGTTGCTCTAATTACTATACAAGTTATTCTACTTTAAACTGAAGCTCATCTATGTTGTAACAAAAAAACTAAAATATACAACACTTATATAAAAAGAATTTTGATTGCTATATGGTGCAATAAAAAAGTTATTTGGTAGAGAGTACAGTAAAAGTTTATAATTTAATGTAATATAAAAAAATTAGACTTACTTTTAACAGGTTTAAGTTAGGCCTGGTTATGCTCGCCTCCTACCGACATTTTCTGCCTTCAAAATTCGACGAGGGGCAGACCAAGAGAAAAAACAAAAAAATGTTTCCACGACCCGCCTGCGAGTGTGTGCTGGTTGCCTTCCTTATGCAGATTCGACCCATTGGTCGACGATTAAGCCTCACCAGTCAGTTCCCATCCCAATTAAGCCGCCTCGTCTGGGGTCACCCTCGTCACCCGTCGGACGGACATCCACCGGGACCCCCTACAGGCGGACCCCCCTCATCATCTTCAATGTGTCCGATATCCCGCCCCCTGCCTCTTCGAGGGTCACGGAATACGTGCACGAAGAAGTCTCGGAGCTTGGGTGCCAAGTCGTATCCGGCCGAAGCCTCTAGCATTAGAACACCTAGCTCGTAAACCAGAGGGTGGTGACTCCCTTGGGTACCTCTGCATGCTACACAGGTCATCGATGCCCGAACATCAGGGTTAGGGGGTGACCCAAGAAGTCTCCTCTCTTGGGGAAGGCCGCGCCGCGCTCTGGAGTCATCTTAAGCCCGGGAATCCACACCGACAAAAACACTGTTAACCAACTGCATCAGCTAACGAAATTCACTAATGTTGAATTAGGAAATTTTATTAACCAACACAGAGAGCTAGCAATGCTCGTGTGAGTGGGGAAGGAGTGTGTGGTGTTGTAGTATTAAGAAAACGCGCCTAAAAAAAAGAAAAATTATTGGAATACCAATAAAAATATATTATCGAACACCTATAAAAATATTACAACAATATATAAATAGGATTATTTATTTTAAATGAAAAAAGAGATAATCCATTTATACCTCAGCAATATTTTATAAGATTTTTCCTGGAATATTATACCAAAAATGTCAAAAATATAAAGATGTTATATGATCTAGGGAAAGAATGGATATAAATTTGATGAATATGGTCAAAATCCAAAGAATTTTTCCATGATGTAACACATAAAAAAATAAAAATACACAAGGAGTTTTTAGAGTTGTAACATATTATTTAGAGCTAAAAGTTAAACCTACAGTGTTTCAAATAAATAAAAATTAATAAAGTTATATTTTTTTAACAATGAGACATCCTATATATTTTATTACATTTTTAATTTCTACTATGAAGTAAAAAACAATCGATCAAAATTTACCTCAAAATCATACTTACTGTTTTCGAAATATTTTAATTTTTATAAAAATTCAGTAACAATTGATTTATTTTTTCAATGCAAATTTACAACTAATACTGAATTAGCAAAAATCATTTGTCAACATTAATACTATTTTTTAACATGTAATATTACATAACGCGCTTTAAAAGAGAAATATATTTTAAAATACCAATATCAGAAATCATTACAAAAAAGCTGAAACATAAATATGTAGGATTCTTAAATAAAAAAAATACGTAATAAAATTCCTAATGAACCCACCTATTTAAAACTTAAATACAAAAAAACTACTCATTCAAAATATTATCACAGATATTAAAATGTGCATATTATATTTTTTTAAAAATAAAGAAAACTCTAAGTATGCCCTATAAAAAGAAATTTAAATTAAAAATAGCAATTTACAAAAAATCAAGACATCGAATTCCAAGAGGCGGCCATTTTATTTAAACATTTCTTGGCCGAAAAAATTAAACAAAAAATCAAAGATACATTACGTAATTTACCAAAAATGTAGTACTATTTTACCCGCTTATGTAACACGCAGTATAGAAAGTACCGAAAATACATAGTTTTACATACTTATCTATTAACTACGTATATTATTTAAACAAAATCCTTAAAAATTAATAACTTAATGGGGAACATTGAGAACAAGGCAGCCATGATGGATATTGCGAAATCCAAAAATATTAAACTAAAATATCTCAAAAAATACATAAAATTACGGGTACTCACTTTTTCAGGAGGCTAAGCAGGGCAGTAGTAACAGATTACGCATAAATTGTGTACACTAAACGCACTTTTTCGTCAGAAAATTTAAAAAAATCGATGCAACGGACGGGAAAACGTGCGGATCCTTCGATTGCAAACGACCAAAGAATGATCGGCATTGCCAGATTGAAGTCATTCGTAAAATTTAAGCTGCTCATAAAATTAATTTATTTATTGCTAATAAAATTGTTTATAGGAAAATTCTTGTAAATTAAGATTAATTTTGTTCTCAAAAGTTATTATTTACTCAATACGTTCCACTGAAATCGTTTTTTTACGTAAGGCAAAATATTTATTGTCATAAATAAGAAACAAATAAGTAATTATAAACATAAACACACAAAAATCATGAAATAAACATAAAATGAAGCTGTTTAAATACATTTTTAATGCTATAAATACATCGAAACCAAGAATAAAGGCTATAATAATGTGAAATTTCTACAAAACAACATTACTGGTACTTGTTTTACTAAAAATATAAATATAGAAATGACCCTTACTATAGTGACCCCACACGTGTCAGTGATCAATTTAAACTAATATAAATTCACAAAAATCACATACAGAAAAAGATTTTCGACATTTTTTAACAATCCGGCAACATTGAACGAGAATAAAATTCAAAACCTCCAAGCATAAAATCCTCCAAGCAACCGAAACTGACCAATCACGATCGAGTATTTTTTGCTCTTGGATGCCTAGATTTTAATTCTTTTTAATAAACATGGATGGTTTTTATTAAAATTTCAGTAGAATATGCTTCCACAGATGCTTCTTAAATTAATTAAACGATTTGTCTTTATTTGTATTTATTCCCTCCAGTATAAAAGATCATACAAAACTTATTTTATATTGAAATTATCTGGTACGCACATCATTAGATGAACTATAAAATCATGCATTTCTTTAATATTTTAATAAATTATTAAGAAACAAGTGTTTTTATTCAATAAATATCCCTTAGTTTAATAAGAAACTAATTCTATATAGTTAAATAGTAAGAAATATGAGATAAATTCAAATACGTTTAAATAACATAAAAATAAAGGTTTAAATAAAACGTTTATTTAAACGTATTTGGATAAATTATATAAAAAAAATTAACTTTATAAGTCTTTAACTTGACTCAATGTTGACAGCTCTAACCGGATGTATCTGTTCAACTTTTGGCGCCACAATTTTCAAATTTGAAATTTAAGCTGAAAAATCCTTTACTTACAAGAAAAATATATTGATAAGTACAAATTATGAGCGAAAAAACGGCGTCCAGTCGGCTGGGAAATGACGATTGAGTACATTTGCCATAAATTTACATATAAAATGACAGCGATCTTTATTTCATAGTCATCCCTGACGCTATTTTTTTCGATCATATAGTAGGGTATTATTTATATTATTATTTTAATATTTCGCACGTATTTAATATTATAACACGTGAACGCTTATTATGTATTTTCATAGTCAATAAAATTAAATAGAAATAAAACTCTAGATTCCTATAATTAATCTAATTGCTTAGATTATTTGTGTTATTATGCTACGTTTAAAAAGTGCTTTATTAAAAATTCTTTTAATAATAGAGAAAAAGATAAAATATAAAGCTTATTTTAGTCTTATCAACACTCTTTACTCTTCGATAAAATATATGTCTGAAATTGCTATTAATCCACTAACTTGATATTTTTAAGAAATTATCTTTGAAATTATGATACAAACATAATCAAAGTAGGTAAAATCAGGAGGGCACGTCTTATATTTTTGTATTACTGGTTGCATACCACAATAAACATGGAAAAATATATAATATAATAAATTATATGGTCTTAGATAATATGTTTCTAAAACAGCAGAGGCCCTAACTAAGTTTTATTTAATAGTTGAGCAATATTTGTGTATCTTTAATACATATTATTTTTGCTGTTATTGGTCTTATTGATTAATCACAGAATATATTAACTATACAGGGTGAGCCTTAAATAAGTGCAAATATTTTTAGAAGTAGTATATTTCGACATCAGAAACTATGACCCAAATGAAACTTCGTCCTCAGTCTGTAATTTTTTTCGCGAAAAAAAAATTGTTTGAAAATTTGGAATTTTTTGAAATATTTTTTTAATTGCAAGTTAAAAAACATAATATCTTGATCGTATGGCCACAAAATAGAAATCAACTTGATTGTTGATTTCTATTTTGTGGTATGGCTTTGGTATGGCAACATAGGTAGTAGATTAAATTTACAAAAGGATCCAGTGATTCTCAAAATTTATGCAAAAAATTATATATAGATTTTAGATTTTCAAAATAAAATAACTCAGTAATTTTGGACTTCTTTGAAAAACGATAAAGGGAAAATATATTTCTATTATTTAAGACTCACTCTGTATATTCTGTGGTTTACTAAACCATATGATAAAAAAACGCGTCCAGTTGGCTTTGAGATGAACAAATATTAACAGCGATCTTCATTTCATAGCCATCGCTGACGACGTATTGTACCGTATGATAAAAAAAAACGGCGTCCAATTGGCTTGGAAATGACGATCAATGACATATCGCTGACGCCGTTTTTTTTTCGAGCATATTGTACTTTTTAGTAGAAAATGTTGGAAGACTTTCAACTAAAACAAATGTAAGCAAAACAAATATTTATTGTATTACGATTACAACAGATTTTTAAGTACACTTTCCTGGCCAAAATTTTACTCAATGACGTCTAGAGATTGACCTCGCCAAAATTATCATCGATTGTCATTCCCCAGCCGTCTTTGACGCCGTTATTTTTTCGATCGTACGGTGTATTTGTAAGTTTCTGTAAGTAATATATAAGTCCCCTAAATGCAAAACTCGGTATTTGACGAAATTTTGAAAAGCGGGATTTTCGCGCCATTCCCTTGCTTATCATAACATGCACATTATCTGCTAGTTAGTAAGTTGCTAAACTATGTATCTGTATGCTACAAATATATTTGAAAACAAAGCTTAAATGCAAAACTCTGTATTTGCTCTCACTTGTCAGATGCAAAACTGTGTAAATGCAATTCGCCAATGGCGTTGCGCCTTATGTGGTCGCGTGATTAAGTGCACGTAGGCATGTTATGCATTATTATTTTATCTGGACTTGGTAAAGGGCAGTAGTAATAATTACCATCGCTCGTGTTTGCCATTCTTCGTTAAAATAAAAATAATAATGAATACCGCAGTTACACCTTGTGAAATTGGCAAAGGTAGAAAACGAACAGTAAACAGAGAGATGAAGACGCCTTAATTATTATGGAATAAGAAAATCTAGAACTTAGAATCTAAGCGCTTGTTGTTTGGAACCTGTTTCCTAAAGTGCTTGACTAAGAACCTGCATGTTTTTTAGTTTAGAAAAGTTTCTTTTTTCGTTTCTTGTTTGTAAGGATTATTATTATTATTCCAAGGACTTGGAATTTGAAAGTTTGCTTTTCAAAGTACGTACCTGTTTTGTTTAGTTAATTAGAAAATATTTTTTTGTGTTTAATTTGTTATATTATTATGTCTAATAAATAATGTTTTAGCACTACTTTGTGCCTCCAATTTAAAGAAAATTGGTTTAATCTGAAAGTAATTTTTAAATTCCACAAGTATATATTTATGGGTATGGGCAATTTTGAGTTGCAAACTGGATATTTTCAAAACAGAAGTGCAAAACTCGGTATTTTAATTTTAAAAGTTAGTTTTTTTAGTTTTTGGTAGGATTTCAAATTAAAAAGAATAGTAGCTTTAAATCAATATGACTAGAGTTAACTAAAACCAAGATTTAAAACAAATCCATATGTATTTTAATAAGTGACAATTTTTTTGGTTTCCTGAACATTTTCGTGACTAGCAAATACCGAGTTTTGCATTTAGGGGACTCATATTTTAAATGCTGGAGGAAGGACGACGCTACTATCAAGTTTCTACACCGGTTCAAAAAAATTGTAGATCCTGTAGAGGGCTGAAACAACGTCAAATATCTCGAGCACAGAAGAGAATAAAGTCTGGAGTCGAGGACAAGTTATGGGGGAAAGACAACAGTTTTATAAAATTTACATAGATCATTTTTCTTTATTTAAATGTATAAAGACATATAGTATTATATTTTGTAATACATATTTTATAAATATATCAAGTATAAGTACAAAACAGAGAGATGTATTTTTATTATTTTTAGACCACATCAATGTTGAAAATTAGATTTTTTAAAAATGTATACAGGGTGTTTCATAAAATATGACCATTGAGTAATCACACAATTCTGCTTAAACTGCTTGACGTTTAAAGCTGATTTTTGGCAAACGGATTGACTGTGGGGTGTAGAGGTTCGATAAGGAGGGGTTCCTCGAATCTCTAATTCCAAGAGGGTGAAAACGCCGCTCAAATATTACAATATTTGTTATTTAAAAAACAGTTAGTCTTTCGGGAAAACGCTTGGACAAGAATAATTTATTTGGTTTTTTTACATATTTTGAAATTTTTTAAAAAATCATACAGGGTGTTCCAAAAAGTTGGGTAATTTCTTAACCACGATTCTGCTTAAACTGCTTGACGTAAAAAGCTTATTTTTGGCAAACGAATTTTTCGAAAGTCAAATTCCAACGAGATGAAACTACCCCTCAAATATTACCAAGTTATATAATAGTATCGCCATATTGTTTTTTCTCATGCCGACATAAATGTGAGGAAATTTTATCCAGTTTGTATGTTAATGGAAATTCTTGCTTTGCTTTATCATCACCATTACAAATGATTAATTCGACGCGAACGAAGTCGCTGGTACACGCTAGTTAATTATAAAAGTGATCTACACAATTACATCACATAAAACATACATACAAATATAACAAATAGGTATAAGTACAAAAACTAGAGAGAACAAGATAGAAAAAATATAATTACTAAAAAAAAGTTCTGTATTTGTGTTTAAGTAAAAAGCCACCCAGTGAAGTGGTTTTTTAACATAAACTAGACTAACCAATAAAAATATTTGATGTTTTCAAAGGATATATCAACCCCATTATCAGAAACAATGAGTTTAAGAAAAAAATACTTCAGTAGTAAATATACCACTCATTAGGGAGCATGTTAAATATACCATTCATTAAATCATTACCAAATCCATTCAGTACAATACCACAATAAAAATAACTAGTTCAGGTAAAAAAAAACTGGATTGCACTTAAACAACATCCTAAATAGACAATATACCATTCATTAAATCATTACCATTGATCACAGCATCGCTCATTACACAAATCCTAGTACCCATCAGTGTTTCCAATAAATTACAAGCAGCTATTTCCGCATATGTAACTCCCCCCACCACATAAACCAAAACAGTCCTACAATGCAACGGATAACCATTATCATTTCTCACTGTCACTGATCCAAATGGCTCTAATTTTGACCTGATATCCTCCAGTGGTACAGCGTTCAGTACCATACCAGCAACTTGAGTTATCAGAGGTATGTATGCACCACCATAAACATAACTAGGACAGGTAGGATTTTTTAAGTTGATTTTATCAGGTTCGGCAGGTATTTGACGTAGATTTTTGGCGTTTATATAGAAGTTACTAGTTGAAAATTTAGGGATTTTTAAGTTTATTTTCCCTGGAATGTTGATGGTGGTTAAACTCTGGTTAAAGTCATCTATAAACCCGGCATTTATCAGATTATTATATGCAAATCCATAATCATAACCAAAATGTAAGAGAAATTTTCTCCAAAATGAATTTATTTCACTCCCTGTAAGTTTCTGTGAAATTGCAATCAAACAAAACAGTCTCAAAGACATCAATTTATCATTTTCAGTAGCTATACTCTCCTCTAAATAAGTTATATTACTAGATTTATTACTGTTTTTCATTATATCAGTTTCAACTTTTTTCTGTTTCTCATACCTATGACCCAAAGCGTTTATAATACTTTCAGCCGCTAGTAAATGGTTACTTATAAACTTCTTCCTTGACTTTGTTGCCTGTAATTGAGTTTGAACATATCTTTTAATCTCATCTAAAGCCATTTCTTTTGAGTACATCTTCTCAGATTTCAGTTCTTTGGTCAGGTTGCTCAAGACAGAAGTGACTTCAGTAAAAAAACGATTCTTGATGTCCGCATAAACTATATCCATATTACTGTTGAGTGTTATAGAGACTGGTTGTTTTTTAGGCACTGGATTGCATTTTTCATCAAAAACTGGGCCATCTTCTTCAGGGTTTTTACTATTTGTCTTGGTACTCTCACAGATGCCTGCTGTAACAGTATATACCTCGTTTAGAAGTCCTGAATATATTCCTGGGGTTAAGAGAGCACTCGTGTAGTCTACATTTCGATCTATGATGATTAAAGCACCGAATTCTGAGTCAATTTGATCTGTTTCGCCTCTGTCTTCGCATAAACTGTCATATTGGTTCAAAAGATTATTTGACTGGGAGCCTAACGCTAAAATGACTCTAGGTTTGCCTGAAACAAATAATAAACTTTAAATTTTAGCTTTGATCAAGATAATTTCCAACAATGGTTACCTGTAACAAAACAAAGCTGCCATAAGCTTTTTGATAAAACAGGAAGCAAAATGAAATTTTCATTTACAAAAAGAGTTTTGTACAAAAGTGGCACTTCTAAGCTCAGAATTCCAGTGTCCAAATGTATAGGCATCCATTGAAAACAATGTATCCTCACTACACTTTCCAGAAGACCATACTGCTCCAATTCCTCTTCAAATAAATAAGATATTTGTGGAATGCATATAATGTGAAATTTGTTATTTGGTGGATTTTCTATATCAACCTGCGCCCTAATTTGATCTACTACTTGACTGAAAACTTTTAATTCAGGATAAATCATATAAAATACTACATTATCACTGAAATTGGGTGCAATTGATTCAAGTTTGAATATTTTTTCGACTCCACTTGCCCTAGAAATAAAATAATAAATAGCTTAAAATCACAGGGTAATGTAGTCTTATTTACTTAAGCCATCGAACTCCGCAGACTCTTTCCAGAGGTTTAATGAGACGAGGTTCTATAATCAGGTATTTTCTGTTCGGATTAACACTAAATATTTTCGATAACTGAGCTTTTGATATCTCTTGTAAAGATGACAGTCTTTTAACAACATCCATTTTATGTGCTCATATGAAAATATTTACATAACACATTAATAAACTTATGATAATCCATAATAATTACAAACAAAACAATTATTTAAAATAATTTAGATTATTGACATTTTTTAAATCGGTTACGAGCATTTTCTTCTACTTTTTCGACTTTATAGCTGGCAATCTGGCTGGCAATAAGCCGTTTATGGAAAATAATCATGTTCGATCTCTATATCTCTGCGATCGACAGAAATTGCCCCACGTGCGAAGAAGAAGAAAAGCCATTATTCAAAAGACAATTTGAGTTTGTTTTAGAAACCAGTTTTTAAAGTAATTTAAACCCCAAAGTCTTATTCGATATAAAAGGATTATAAAGAAGGTTTTTATTAATATTTTGTTTAAGCCATAGATTTCTTTATAAACCGATTATTCTAAATTTAGATTATTCACCACAGTCAAAGGTTAGGTTGTCATTTTCCAGAAAATTTTCGAATCTGACAATTCGGTATTTTTGAAATGATTTTTTGAGTTAAAACAAAATACTGAAATCTACAATGAATTTTCTCAACATTGCGAAGAATCCAAGAATAGTTAATACAACAAGAAAGTTAGTACGTTTATCAAGTGAAGGTAGGAGGGACTTTTCCTATTTAACCTCAAGAAGTGAGTGTAGAAAGGACTTGGAACTTATACCTTTGGCTCGCGGAAGAGAATCGCTTGTTAGCAGTAGGAATAGACTTTTAAGGAGGGCTGTGCAAAACAGCAGGTCTGTTACTGCACTACGATACTTTACAAGTAAAGATAACGATGATCTACCACCCGAAGATGAACCATATAATCCTCAGTTACCTGCTACTGTAGCAGTACCTGAAGTATGTATTTAATTATGTATTTTATCAATAAGTGAATGTATTTTTGTTTTGTTAGGTATGGCCTCATGTACCAGTAATAGCAATCAGTCGAAATATAGTGTTTCCTCGTTTTATAAAACTTATAGAGCTTACAAATCCACAATTGATTGAATTAATACGACGAAAGGTCAAGTTGAATCAGCCCTATTGTGGAATATTTTTAAAAAGAAATGAGGAAAATGAATCTGAAGTAAGTTTGATCATTTATTTTTGTTTATTGGTTTTAATAACATATTTTTTAGGTTGTTAATAACACCAGTGATGTCTATAATATTGGAGTATTTGCACAAATTCATGAGATGCAAGATTTGGGAGATAGATTAAGATTGGTTGTCATGGCACATAGAAGGATTAAAATTACAGGACAGATTTTTGATCATATAGATGAGGAACCAAAAGGTATGTTGCATAATATGTTGTATAATATCATCATAATATAAATTATTATATGCTTATTGTAAGTTATGCTGACATCAGTAGATAGAATATTATTTGAATATATATGATAATACTAGCTCTGTTAAAACTAGCATTGTCATACTGAAACTTCCATTCTAAAAATGCCATATCTACAGTATGTCCCCGGATTGTCTTTACAAGAGGAAAAACTTTTTTATTATTGACATTTTGAGAAAAATGCATTCTTCATAAAAAAATTTGGTTGTCCTAAAATGGTTAATCCCGTTTATACTTTTTGAAATTTCCATACCGTTTCAGAGAAAAATAAGAAAAACATGAAAATAGTGTTGAATTTTTTAAATCCTAAAAATCAAAAGGTTCTATGGTAATATCAATTCGATTTCATTCTTTGATAGATAGTTATTATTAATTTTGATTAATATTATATTCTTTGCTGTTCTTAAAGTATCACATTTTCCGATAACTATCATCATCCTTCCCGTAGCATTGAACTAAATAAATTTTGTGCTTTTTTAACATTCTAAAACAACAATACATATTACGTTGGTTAAAATTCTATGAATAACAATCAATATCAAAGAATGAAGACGAAGTTATATTACCATAAAAACGCGTTTTGATTTTTAGAAAAATTCATCCATATTTTCATGTTTTTCTTAATTCTCGTTGAAAAAGTATGGAAATTTGGAAAAATATAAAAGAGATTAACTATTTTCGAATAAGCAAATTTTTTTTTGAAGAATGCATTTTTCTCAAAATGTCAATAATAAAAAAGTTTTTCCTCTTGTAAAGACAATCCGGGGACAACATTTTTGCCCATATAAAGTTTTGTCAAAATTATAAAATTTCAATTTTTTTAAATTGCAAATATTTGAATTGGTTTGGTTAGGCTTTTTGGCAAATATTTGGATTGGTTTTGGTTAGGTACTCTTATGGGACTTTGTTTGAAAAAGTAATGGTCACCTGAAAGGGTTCACTAAATGACCACAGTGCCGCTAATAAGGGTTCGAACTGAATTTAGCTGTTAAAAATTAAGTGAAATTAGTAAAAAAAGAGTCGCAACACGCGTCTTCAGACATCGCATGCTTATCTATCTTTTTAATTATTTCCTTTTCTAAATTTATTTGGGGCTTCTTTCAAATGTAGAACTTTTACTACAGTATCTTAATTGTTCCCTCTTTGATGACCAGTTTTCACACACAAAGATAATTCTCCTTATCTGTACCCTTAATACTTTGAACACTGAATGGTAAATACTGTGAACATATCATTTATTAGCTAGAGTATTATTTTGCTGTTGTAACGTCAAAATGTATTAGTTTCAACTGTATTCTCCAGAGTATTGGATAAATAAATTTGAAACGCCCTGTAAGTCAAGTGACTTTAAGCACTACAAACTGGAGAGTTTCATCATCTGGTGACAGCTAATTGCATTAGTATTTCTCCATTCAGTCCTTAAAAACAAAAGGGACTTTGGAATTGAACAATTTAATTGAATTTTTGTTGCCAACATAAATAACTTTGCAGTCATTTCCAGAGCCTCTCTTTATTACAATCACCCCCCAGCACACGGTATATTCATTCACGCCTGTAAAACAACTCGCCGTTTTCTCGCCTCTTTCTATTCGTAGCCGAGCCGAAACCGTTGAAACTGCACTTTCCCGCGTTCAACGCGTCCATTAACGTGCCCCAAATTTCAGAAGAGTCCGATGCCAGAGGGCGCAGGAAGGCGCGCAACAACCGCCTGAAAAAGTCCTATCCCGAGATCAAGAACGTCGAAGAAAAGTCAACAGCGCAGCGGGTGGCGCAGGAGAGCGGCGAGGCGCCCAAGGACGGCAAGCCGGAGCCGCTGCTCATGGCCGAGGTGGAGAACGTGGTGCACAACAAGTTCAGGCAAACGGAAGAGGTTAAGGCGCTGACGCAGGAGGTCATTAAGACCATTAGGGATATAATCAGTTTGAATCCGTTGTACAGGTAAGGTTCGTTATTAAATTTTATGACGTGGCTATTGTCTATTCCACTGCGATCTTTACAGATCTACTGTACTGTTTGAGATATTGACTTTTGAAAATATCACTTAAACAATTCGATTTAATTAATTTCGATGTGTTTGGTTTGATTTAATGATACCATTCTGCCGAAACTGTTATACTGTTGCAATGGGGTTTTAAATTCCTATTAGCTACTAGTAAATTTAAGTATATAAATAAATCAATAAAAGCCTTTATTGTCAAAAAATTTTTCAATTTGTAGACAAAGGTAAACTAACTAACAAAGTAAAAAAAAACAAGGTACACAAACAAACAAACAAAAGATAATACAAAACACTATACAAATAATATTGTCAGTCTTATTGTTAAAATAAACATTTATAAATGTTTACAATGTCAAAGAATAAAACAAGTAAAATAATATTCAAAAATATTTAGCCAGTTTATAGCAAAATATCGATGACCTCTAAATAAATTAATTTCGATGTCATTAGTAAATATAGCAATAGCAAACATTAGCCCAGTGTTTTCAAGATCAAATTCGATTTTCAATTCAAATATAATTCATTTACGGCGTAGAAAGCCTTGTCTAGTAAATAAGAGTTCAATGCTCTGCGAAATGAAAAAATGACGTTTGGATTTGATTTCAAATGGCAGGTGATTGTGCATTTTTTTCGAGTTGTATAATATTGAACTTTTAACTAACTCTGAGCGTGGGGTAGGTAGATAAAGATCTTGCTCCGCGTTCCTGAGTGGATAAGTGTGAGATGGCCTTTCTTGAGAAGCTGATACATGTTTACGTATTAGGCAAACGGATTCAAATATAAATAAGGAAGGAAGAGTCAATATTTTTAATTCTCTAAAAAAGCCCCGGCAATGAGTTCTGCTGTTTAGTCCCAGTGAATATCGAACAGCTCTCTTCTGGAGCTTGAAAATGCGGTCAAATTGAGCCGCACAACACGTACCCCAGAATGGAAGGGCATACCTGAGGTGCGACTCAAAAAGTGCATAATAAACAGTTCTAGCCACTGACAAGTTAAGCTCCTTAGAAACAGACCTTAATGCAAAACAGGCAGAGCTCAATTTTTTCGACAAAGCTTCGATATGTATGTCCCATTTCAGAGAATTGTCCACAACAAGCCCTAAGAATTTTACGGATTTTACGACGTCAATGGTGGTGTTGTCAAGTACAAAAGGCTGCAACGAGTTTTTATACGACAAAGCCTTAGTTTTAGAAATGTTGAGACTCAGGAGGTTCGAATCGCACCAAGATTTAATGGTGATTAAGTCATTTGATATAATCCTATGAAGTGCCGCGATGTCCTTGTTGCTCCAAGTGAAGCTAGTGTCGTCCGCAAAAAGACATATTTTGCCACTGATGTTTATGTTAGCAATGTCGTTAATAAAAAGAAGAAACAAAATAGGGCCTAGTACTGAGCCTTGTGGTACTCCACATTCTATTGGCTTGCTAGAAGACAACGTGGTATCCACCCTCACAAGTTGACTTCTGTTGCTCAGATACGACTTAAACCATTCGAGAGATGATCCCCTGAACCCATAGTGCTGCAGTTTATTAATTAGGATCTTATGATTTACACAATCGAACGCCTTAGAAAAATCACAGAAAATTGTTGCTGTAGAATGATGGTTATTTATATAGGGTTGGCCATAAAGTTGTGGCAAATCAAACTTTATTTTTTTTAATATTTCTTCAATTTTAAGCAATAATCGTAATACATAATGTACATAAATTGGAGGATTGAAATGTTAAACGAAAATTTTGTAATTTCTACAGACTTGATATACTCCCAATTTATACATCTATAAATGCTAACTTGAACTAATGTCAAATATTATTAAGTAACACAGTTTCGGTAAAATAACATCGTTAAATGAAACTGAACATATCGAGATTAATTAAATCAAATTGTTTAAGTGATATTTTCAAAAGTCAATAACTTGGAAACGGTTGGTTTGAGGCAAGGGCGTAGATAAGGGGGGGGTACTGGGGGACAGTACCCCCCCCTGACGCTTGACGAGATACGAGAATTGAAATAGTCATTGACTATGAAAGGATTTTTTTTAATTAATATCCGACATATAAGAACACTTTGTATGCTTTTAATTATGTTGATTTATCGTTTATAATATGTTCGACCTAATTAAAAGCACACAAAGTGTTCTTATTGGCCAGGACAGATTAGTGGGGTTAACTCTAATCAATATCCATAAAGATATTGAAATAAATGTTGATGCTGTTATTGATAGGTTTTCCAAACAGCGTAATAGAAAACTTGATTTTGTTTTGTAGTTTTATTTATAGTTTTTATAGTTTTTTTGATAGTTTAGATTTTTTTATTTATAGTTTATAGAAAATTAACTAATAAACGTCGTTGTTTCATTTTTGTGTATGTTATTTACAAATCTATATTTTAATTTTTGTGTTATGTTTTTATATCTTTTTGAAGACAAAAAAATCGCCGTCGTTTTAATTCGACAAAAAAATTCCGACGGTGATTTTTTTTGCGATTTAATCATAGTACCACCCCCATAGCATACACCTATCTACGCCCCTGGTTTGAGGTACATTGTGTATTTCGATTTTTGATTAGAATTGAAGGAAGAACCGAGATATGCAATAATATACAAGGAGTTCCATTTAAAAAAATGAAACTTTGATGTGCCACGACTTTATGACCGACCCTGTATACTTAAATTTATTACCCGCTAATAGATATTTATGAACCCTATAACTTTTATATTTAACTTTTTGCGGTACCTCCTATATTTTACGTAATAATCGACCGTTTCCATACATAACAGCGACCCTGTATAATCAGCCAAAATTTACGAAGTTTGAAACTTTCGTCATAATTTTCGGCGCCATATTGCTTTTCACGTATTTCCTGACTTGGTCCATGAGTTGTAAACTAACAATAACAAAATATTAAACGATGACAAATTTATTGTAGCCTACCCGCAGTATACAATGAATAAATACGTCCTCTAATAATATGCTCATGGATCTTATAAGCAGGAATTCCACGGGACAAACGAATATTGTCACTTGTTTTGCTGCTTTTTGTTCTTTATCTTTCACGATTCCTCTGGAACTTATTCTTTGCACAGTCGAACATGAAATTCCTAAAGCCGATACCCTCTATAAAACTATTCTCACTATATTCACCTATTGAAAAAGTCATCTTTTTTACATACCATCAAAATCTAAAAAATATTCGTCTATTGCCACAGTCCTTTAAAAAACTGTTAATCTATGTCTTTCACTACTCCCACTCCTTTGGTTTGGTTTGGCAGAAAAGAAAACGAAGAAATATTTATGTACAAGAAATATTTGTGGAAGCGATAAACATTGACAATGAACAATAATTAAAAAAAAGGTTTTGTTGAAAACGGTTTGTTTTATTTTAACAAGATTTGTGTATAAATATTTTTAAAAGAAAGGACCATTAATCGCATACTGTTGATGTAACTTTTTGGTAAATTCTAGACATTTGGGCGATATTTCAAAAAAAATTTCACCTGTGCCTCTTTTTTACCCTCTCGTCCACTATTTTTATTTTGAAAGTTGGCAACCCACCCTAGTTTATAGTTATTGGTCATGGATGGCTACAAAATGCTACATTTTTATGGTCTAGTTGTGTACAATCAAAAATATTCTTGTGGCAACCCTGTCTGTAAATTGCCAAGTCATCTCAAGCTTCTTGTAAAGCTTTGTATCTTTTGGAGGATTATCTCCTCACCTCACTCTTAAATTTCCTCATTCCATGTGCTGCATGTCCAAATATTCGCACCGAAAATCCTTCTTCGTTTCTCCTGCATTTTCGTTATAGTCTGTCCTATAAGATAGATGTGTAGATATAAAAGATATACAATTATTGTGTAGCTTAAGTTGAGCTTCAACTTGCTTATTTATGTTTTGTCAAAGACTCATCTATAAATTATTATTCAATTAACCACTTAAGCTTCTTATGAATCAATCTTGCGATTTTTTGGAGAACAATCTCTCCCAAGCGCACTAAGCGTTAAATTTACATTATCAAGGTGCAGGAGTATCTTGTAGAACTGTGCTGCGCAATCTCACATGAACCTGTGCGGCGCAGCAAGGTGAGTTGCTCCCACTGCATTTTTACAATAGCGAGGTCCATTTTATCAAGCGTTTTCAAGAATTTTGATAACTTTTTGGTCAGATATACATTCTTCAAGGAAGGACAGTTTATCTGAAATACATTGCGAATCTTAATTTCGGTACTGTCTTTGTCGTCGCCTTTTTCGTCATCGTCGAGAAAAAAAAATTGAGTCTCTATGCTTCTAATTGATTTCGGAAATACTATAACTTATTTTCATATTACTGGTCAATTCAAAATTATAAAATTTAGAGCACTGCAAAGACCGATTGTTTATTTTAATTTTAACAGGGACAGTTTACAGCAGATGATGCATCAAGGTCAGAGAGTAGTAGACAATCCAGTCTATCTCTCTGACTTAGGAGCAGCCCTTACAGCGGCCGAAAGCAAAGAATTACAAGAAGTCTTAGAAGAAATGGACGTGAGTATATCTTTTACATCCATAATGGGCATGTGTCAAAAACAAATCAGAAATAAGTTATTATATTATATAAATCATATCTTAATACCTCATTTTGCACAAAATCAGAAAAAAAGTAGTAATATTTTTGAAAACATAAAACATGCTTCATAATTTTCTAAAAAATTCAGATTCCAAAACGACTGATGTTATCCCTGTCCCTACTGAAAAAAGAATATGAACTGTCCAAACTACAACAGAAGATCGGCAGAGAAGTCGAGGAAAAAGTTAAGCAACATCACCGGAAGTACATCTTACAGGAACAACTTAAAGTGATAAAGAAAGAACTGGGATTGGAAAAGGAAGATAAAGACGCTATAGGTGACAAGTTCAGGGAAAGAATCAAAGACAAGGTTCTCCCTCAAGCAGTTAGTGCTGTCATTGACGAAGAATTAAATAAATTGAATTTCCTAGAAAGCCACAGTTCAGAATTCAAGTAAGATACTGTTAAATTCACACAAGAAAAAAAAAGTTAAATTTGGTTATATTAAATTATTATTTTAGTCATATTGTTAAGACATAATTTTGTGTTTTTAGTGTTACAAGAAACTATTTAGATTGGTTAACTTCCTTGCCTTGGGGTATTCAAAGTGAGGAAAATCTAAATTTGCAGAGAGCCTCAGAAATATTGGATCAAGACCATTATGGCATGGAAGATATTAAAAGGAGAATTTTGGAATTTATTGCTGTAAGTCAGTTGAAAGGCAGTACTCAAGGAAAGATTTTGTGCTTTCATGGGCCTCCAGGTGTAGGAAAAACTAGTATAGGTTTGTTATTCCTTTTTTTATTGTTGAGTTTTATACAGTTATCCATTTTCTTCTGTAACGAGAGTGAAAATTTTATATAAAAAAAAAATTATCTGATTTTTTCATACTTTTTATATAGTCTCAAAAGTGGCTCACCCCCTATAACTTTTTTATTTTTTCAGATAAAAAGACGAAATTTGGTATGTTAGTATATGACGTAAATTAGGATTGATTGACGTATTCAATTGTTTTCAGCCACTTTCTGTTTCACCGGAAATGACTAAAACATTTGATTTTTAAATGGCACCCTCGGTATTTTCTTACTTTATTTGATAGAAAATGGCACTCTGAATAGAATGATATATGTATCATATGTCAAATTTTGACATTTTCTCATATGGTTTATTGGAAATTGTAACATGCGGTTCATAACAATAATTTGACTTGAAATATCAAGTGTGTGGTATTAAATTATTAGTAAAAAAATGCTTTTTCCAAATATGCTAATGAGCCAACCTCGTTACATTTGGAAAAAGTGAGATATGATTAAAAATACGATTTGGGTATCTTTTAACTGGCCAGGACAAAACATTAAAAACATTAGATGATCAAATCTATTTTTCATACAATCTATTTTTCATCAATGCTCCTTGACTAAAAATTAGTGTTTTTAACCCAACCATGGCATTCTAGATTGACATTTAAAATAATACAATTTTGTTTTAATCCAAAATGTCAAAAGTTGACATATGATATGTCATTCTATTCAGAGTGACATTTTCTATCAAATAAAGTAAAAACATACCGAGGGTACCATTTAAAAATCAGAAGTTGTAGTCATTTCCTGTGAAACAGGTAGTGGCCGAAAACAATTGAATACGTCAATCAATCCTAATTTATGTCATATACAGCATACCAAATCTCGTTTTTTTGTCTGAAAAAATAAAAAAGTTATAGGGGTGAGCCACTTTTGAGACGCACCCGGTATACACCCTGTACATTGATATTACTGAACAGTACCTACGTATAAACTAGGTTCTTTTATATTTATAAATGCTAAGTTAAAAATTTACCAAAAATGATGAAATAGTACTTTATACCATTTTTTCGCGCTTATTTATTTACACCCTGTATAATGATATTACCCTTGTTTATATATTTTTAAAGTTGTTCAACCTCTCGACAAAATGTGCTGCCTCTGGTGAACAAATCGTGAAGCTTTAAAGGAATGAAGCATATGATTAGGGGCGGAGTCAAAAATATCGATTATTTGCGGTATTTCCCTCAGAGAAATTTAATTAGTAGTAATAGTTTTGTTTAAATTTCCCTCAAGAAATTTAAACAAAACTATTATTTCATTGTTGATTTTCGATTATTTTTGCTGTTATTTTAAGGATTCTAAACCGTACTTAACAAAGAAATAACAATTTTCAATACGTTGGTACATTAATGCTAATTACTGGTAATTATTAATATTTAAAAAAAGTTATGAGTGGGAGGGGGGTTAATCACTGCGACCTTAACAGATCCATTGTATCCCCCTTTCTTGAGTCATAACTCATCATACAGTCCCAGGGCTTTGACAAAAGCCAGTATCTGGGACGGTTTTATAGAGGGTAGTTCTCCATCTCCAATATCAGTCGTACCAAAATTCATGGCACGAATGAGGTGTACTGGTGTATGTATAGTAAGTATATACAGTATAATAAAAAAATCTAGATAATTATTGTGTGTTCGATAATTGTTAATGTATATAAAATTACTAAATAATACAAAATATGTAAATTAAGTGGAATATCCAATCTAACATGTACCAATAATTGGTAAGTTCAGTGATGTACCAATCTTATTATTAGGGCGTCTCTATATTTACTTATTTCCCTGAGAGCGAGATAAATCGTGTGGTACATTGGAACTACTTTTTATCTGAGGGTGCAGCCACACTATCCTAAAAACGGCGTATCGGCGTAACGGCGTAACGACCTTGAATCGATTTCCAGTAATTCTATTGGCTGAAATTTTTGACAGATGAATTTGACAGATAAAATTTCTGACAGATGAATGTTTCAGCCAATAGAATTACTGGAAATCTATTCAAGGTCATCGCGCCGTTACGCCGTTTTTAGGATAGTTTGGCTGCACCCTGAGGGTATTTTGCTGTCTTTCTCGGTGTTTTCCAAGTCAATTAAAAATTTAAAAAAAAGGACAATGATAATAAGATTTTTGAATTTCTCAATGCAAAATATACAGGGTGTCTCATAAATAAGCGCAAGTATTTAAGAGGTGGTAGATCGGATAATTGAGTTATTTAATTTCAAAAATTCCAAAATAATAATTCTTAAATTTTGAGAACCAGCAGGCAGTCAATTAGTTACAGGGCGTTTTCTTTCATGAGGTTTTCTGTGACTGAAAAGTCCGATGCGTGATTTTATATGCCTTCCGCACTCCGGATATTCAAATCTCATTGCTTTGTTGCTTCTTTACTGTTTGGTTGTCCTTGTTAACTGAGTTAAGTTTTCATGGAAAATCTTAGTACCTTTTGTGTTGTCCACCTGGTTTCCTCTTGCCGTCTACAAGCTCACAAAAGCTTGTAGAATTATTGATAGTGGCACTGATATAATTAAAAATAATTTTCGTAATTTATTGTGTAGAAAATTAAAATTATTTTGAACTAATAAATACACAAATATGCAGAATGTGGGTAATATAGGATACCATATCCACATCATTGCAAGGCTTCGATACACCGTCAAACAATTTCTCTAACAACTAAAAAATATTAACAGCAGAATCAACCTGCTGCACTAAAACATTTTGTTTTAAATTTTTCGGAAAATGAAAAAGAAATATATAATTTTTAACAATAACTAACAAAAAACGCACTTCTGATTTTTATTTTTAACTTGTGTGTATAGAAGTACAAAATTCTGATATATTAATGTATTTTCCAGCTAGATCAATTGCTAGAGCACTAAACAGGGAATACTTCCGATTCTCCGTTGGTGGTATGACAGATGTCGCTGAAATTAAAGGTCACAGACGTACCTACGTAGGAGCCATGCCTGGAAAAGTAATTCAATGTTTAAAGAAAACCAGAACGGAAAATCCACTAGTTTTGATCGATGAAGTAGACAAAATTGGAAAGTAAGTAGCCAGAAAATCAAAAAATATTCAAAAAATAGATATTTAACATGATCCAAAATTTTCAGAGGTTATTCAGGCGATCCAAGTTCAGCCTTACTAGAATTACTAGACCCAGAACAAAATTCCAACTTCTTAGATCATTATTTAGATGTTCCTGTTGATTTGTCAAAAGTTTTGTTTATCTGTACGGCAAATGTGGTGGACACAATTCCAGAACCGCTTAGGTATGTTAAAATTATTAATATACAGGGTATTTTCGTCTAAAACTAACTATGACGTATAATAAAGTCTATTAATATTAATTTTCCTTGCAGAGATCGTATGGAAATGATTGATATGTCTGGTTATGTAGCTGAGGAAAAGTTAGCTATAGCTAAACAATATTTATTGCCTCAAGCAATGAGAGATAGTGGCTTGAAAGACGATCAAATCAAAGTAGAAGACGAAGCTTTAAACATTTTGATAAGAAATTATTGTAGGGAGTCGGGTGTACGAAACTTACAAAAGCATATTGAAAAGGTAGGTATTTAAACAAACTATTATTTTTTTAATGAAGGTAAAACATTTCAGTGGTGATTTTTGGCATTTTTTTAAGAATAAAATGGTACAACATTTGCTTATAAGTTAATTCTGTAAAGAATTCTTTTACAAATTGTGATTTTGTAGGTTGTAAGGAAAGTAGCCTTCAAAGTAGTTAAAGAAGAAACGCAATTTATCGATGTAGGAGGAACTAATCTTCAAGAATTCGTAGGTAAACCAGTATTCACGCATGACAGGATGTACGAAGTCACGCCACCTGGTGTAGTAATGGGTTTAGCTTGGACAGCAATGGGTAAGTCGAAAATCTGTTTGACAGTGATTTGTTTTTTTTAATTGTTTTTCCTTTTAATATTTAGAACGTTATGTCGTTATTTTCTATAATTTTTAATAAATATACTAAAGAAGTAAATTGTAATTTTGAGATATGTGGATTACCTTGAATGTTGAGGTGATCCAATATTCTCAAAAGTTTATTTTTATTTGTTCTAACTTCCACCAACATTCTTCCTCGCCACACTCGCCCTGTGCAATAGAATAACTTTTACTGGCAACCTTTAGTAAATTTTACTTTCACTAGTGAATGTTAGAAATTACTAGGAAGAGTCCAGTGCGTAATTGTAGTTCAGTAATATTATGGCTCAAATTGCGATATATCCGACAAAATTCATAAAGTTTTCAAAATTGGTGGAAATAATCAGGACATAATATGTATTAATAAACTGAAAAGTTCCCACCCCTAAATAGTGTGCGTCATCCCCCAGGACATCGTTTCTACCCCAATTTTGAGCTTTTTTAGATAATCTCGGCAACACGCGTTGCAACGGTGCAATTCTCGACAAAAATACTTATATAGAAAATTGTTCTTCATAAAATTCTCTATCAAAAAGGAAATTACACTTTTTTTCTAAAGTTAATAATAAAGTGGCAAATAGGGCGCAAATATAAGGGTTGGTTATGACTAGCACTATCTGCAGTTCAATTTAATTTAAAGTTTAATGTTTAACGCTAACAAAAAGCAGTAACCACTAAATTATACTTAGAATTTTAATATACGTTCTTCTCTCACACTCCTCTACCCCTATAAAAAGGGTGATTTGTACTTATTTCCGCATCACCCTAGAGATAAAGTATTTGATGCGTTTTTTTTAAGTGGTATCCCCTATAGGCCTAAAAGTGCGTCGTGTCAATCGTGTAAAGCCGATATTTAGTTTGATGTCTCTGAAACTCAGCAGAACTTCCTAAGTAATTTGCTTAACAAAGAACGTTTAATCACAGAACTAGTAAACAAATTTAGGAAAGAAGTATAGGAGGTAAAAGAAGTAAAGAGTTTAGGAAAGTAGGTATAGAAGTATTTGTTGCTGCGGATGACGCCGATTTATTAATAATTCAAACTGCTATAGAAAAATCTAATAATTGCGATACAACGGTTATAGTAGGGCAAGACATTGACCTGCTAGTTCTTCTTATTGCATTTTCTCCCTCTGACAAAGTTATCAAATTTTTAAAAGAAAAACAGGGTAATACTTGCCAAAGGATTTACAGTTAGTTCTCAAGATTTACAATCCGCAACTTTTTTAAAAAATTGCAAAAATACTATAATATTTGTACACGCCATTAGCGGTTGTGACACAACCTCGGCTTTTTTTTCCAAAGTAAAGTTTAATGCAATCAATGTATTCGCTAAAAGAAGTGTTTTACAACATATTGTGCAAACTTTCAATAATGAAATCTACTCATAAAGAAATTGCAAACGTAGGAGAGCAATTTATTTTAGCTTTATACAACTGTACCTCAGCAGAAAGCAGTCTAGATGAATACCGATTTATGTACTTCAACAAACTTGTTGGTAAAGCCAACAACACTGTCAAAACTACCACCAACTTCTGCTGCAGCTCGGCAACACTCGTATCGGCTTTTTCACCAAATTCAAACATGGAGAGGAGTTATGCTCGAACCTACCGACTGGGGGTGGAAAAAAGTTGGCGGTATATTAACCCCAACAATGACAAACAAAGAGCCAGCCCCCGCATCTGTTTTAACAGTTATTTCATGTTCATGCAAATTAGGGTGCGAATACAGATGGAGCTGCAGAAGAGCAGGCTTGCGTTGCTCTACAATGTGTTATCATTGCCATGGACAGTCATGCTTGAATGCTGAACCTGTGGAAGATGACGAAGATTACTAGTTAACATTTGATAATTAGTGGATTAGGCCTACAGGGGATACCACTTGAAAAAACGCATCAAATACTTTACCTCTAGGGTGATGTGGAAATAAGTTCAAATCACCCTTTTTATAGGGGTAGAGGAGTGTAAGAGAAGAACGTATATTTAAATTCTAAGTATAATTTAGTGGTTACTGCTTTTTGTTAGCGTTAAACATTAAACTTTAAATTAGATTGAACTGCAGATAGTGCTAGTCATAACCAACCCTTATATTTGCGCCCTATTTGCCACTTTATTATTAACTTTAGAGAAAAAGTGTAATTATCTTTTGATAGAGAATTTTATGAAAAACAATTTCCTATATAGGCATTTTTGTCGAGAATTGCACCGTTGCCGAGATTATCTAAAAAAACTCATAATGGGGGTAGAAACGATGTCCTGGGGGATGACGCACACTATTTAGGGGTGGGAACTTTTCGGTTTAGTAATCCTCATGCTATCCCCAACATACCTACCAATTTTCAAAACTTTCTGAATTTTGTCGGGTTTAAATCGTAATATAACTGGATTATTGTTAGCATTTCCTAGTGAATGTTAACGATCACTGATTTTCACTGTAACATATCACTGTATGACCTTTCCTCTGAAGTATATTGAATACAATTTTTTGGCAGGTGGGTCGACATTATACGTAGAAACGACGACTCGAAGAGATACATCGCCTGACAAAGATACAGAAGGTTCGTTAGAACTTACGGGGCATTTGGGCGAAGTTATGAAAGAATCTGCAAAAATAGCTTTAACTGTAGCCAGGAATTATCTGACTAAAACCGATCCAACCAATAAATTTTTACTTGGCAGGTATGTTTCACATTCAGTTTGTTCTAACTCGCAAATATTTTTGGCTTAGATTTATTTTTATACATTCTACAAACTAAGTGGGGTCATTGTTCATGTGTTTTTTCTTTCCTTCTGTCATATAGTCACCTGCATTTACATGTACCAGAGGGCGCCACACCTAAAGACGGACCTAGTGCGGGCTGTACAATAGTGACGGCGCTTCTGTCATTGGCCAAAAACAAACCAATCAGGCAGGACCTCGCCATGACAGGAGAGGTGTCGCTTATGGGTAAAGTCTTGCCAGTGGGTGGTATCAAGGAGAAAACAATAGCAGTAAGTATTTTTTGGTAAATAATAATATTAATTATTATTTAATTAATTATAAAAGTCTGAAATATATTTATCTGTATGGTTAACTTATTTACAGCAAATAATTATGAAACATTTGCTGTCTGTTATTTAAAATATTTATTCTTACGTTTGTTAATATACAGGGTGGTCCGAACTATATTCCGTAAACTTTGGAAGCATATTCCGCAGATAAAAATAAGTAAAAAAGTTCGTGTAAATGTATGTTCTAAAACGCTTACTTTTGGAGATACAGGGTGTAGAAGCTTCATTTTTATTTCGATTTTTTTCAAACGATTTCTGAAGTAACGTCAATATTTGGATGAAAAATAATGTCTGAGAGTTTTTTGACGTGAGAAATTTGATTTTGATGTGTAAATATAACTTCTTCTTGTAGAGGACGCCACCTACATATTTTTTAACTGGTTCGAAGAGTAATATCTTTTAGTCTGTACCTGTATAAAACTACTGAGTGAAAAAATATACATTTTCGTGATTTTTTACGTAAAAAATGTCTTGGTAAAAATCGCTACGAGCAACTATTCTCAAGATATTTAGAATGGAAATAGTCAATACATGTCATTATTGACAAAAAATAAACCTGTTGGTAGATGTTATTTGACTGAATGATGATAAAACAGTTCCTGTTGAACTTTTGGCACAAAAACATTTCAAATTTATGATTTCAGTCTAATAACTATTTAGTGTCAACATGTTTAATTTATGTCAGTGATGACAGGTATTGATAATTTCGATTCCAAATATTTCGAGAACCATTACTCGTAGTTTTTTACCAAGAGACCTTTTTTACGTAAAAAACGTCGTAAATGTATATTTTATTACTCAGGTAGTTTTATAGATACAGGTACGGACGAAAAGTTATTACTCTTCAAACCAGTTAAAAAATATGTAGGTGGCGCCCTCTACAAGTAGGAGTCATAAATACATCAAAATCAAATTTTTCATGTTAAAAAACTCCCAAACACCAATTTTCATCCAAATATTGACGTTACTTCAGAAATTATTTGGAAAAAAATCGAAATAAAAATGAAACTTCTACACTCTGTATCTGAAACTAAGCATTTTAGGACATACATTTATAGGAACTTTTTACTTATTTTTATCTGCAGAATATGCAGCCGAAGTTTCCGGAACACAGTTCGTACCACCCTGTAAATTTAACTTAGCTATAGTCTGCCCAACGAGAGGATACATGACAATGACAGTTGTATCTGTCATTTTAATTTAAATGCATACGTAAATTGTGTTTTCTGTCATTTATGTATGTCGTCTGTGGAAAGCATCCCTGATTAGTTAGGCACAAGAACGGTAAACTAATAGGATTGCTCATCCTCATAAGACGTACGTTCGCCTCTTCCCGCACTTCAGCTGACAGTTGTGACGTCATTGTAGTCCTTGTCATGATAGTGTGTATTACTGGTTGCCTATGGTAAACTAATAAAAATAACAGCTGAGTTTTGAGTTAACTATTTTGTCGATTTTAAATGTGAAAAAGGTGTTGTTTTTAGAGCTATAGAGTTTATAAATACGTTCATTTTGCGTTGTGGATTGTGACTAAGTGCTTACTAAGTGCCTACGATATTGCTTATTAATTATTTTAAAGCAAAATATGGAAGTAAAAAAAAGGATGCCTGCAAAAGGTGATGCTGGGAACTGTTGTTCTTAAAAATGCATTATGCGAATATTTAATATGATTTATACAGTTAATTTTCTATACTGCATACATATAAGCTGTTTAAATAAACTAAATAATGAATGTTTTGCATACGGCAACCAACAATACACACACTATCATGACAAGGACTACAATGACGTCACAAAGTGAAGAGTTTTCGCATGCACCTGGCAGACACTTTCGATTGAACGAGCAGTCCTATTAGGTTAATTTTTCTTGAGTCAGGCAGACTTTACAGCAGATTGTTTAACGTTTAAATATTTTTCTTCCAGGCTAAAAGATCTGGTGTCAAATGCATCATTCTTCCCGAAGAAAACAAGAAGGATTTCAACGATCTTCAGTCATTTATTACTGAGGGTTTGGAAGTGCATTTCGTCAGTCACATCGACCAAATTTATCACATAGCGTTTCAAGAATGACATTAATGTTTATTTAAAATCAAATCTCGAAAATATGTTTTCAAATAAATGCTGTCAAACAGTTGTTCCTGGTCTGGTATTCACTTAATTTTTCTTAAAACTATTTGTAGAACTTCTCAAAATCTCTACAAACAGTTGTATTTAAATGTTTATATTTTTTTCTATAAAAAATGGGTCTATTTGTAATATATTGTGTTGAAGTGAGGTTCTCAGTACAAGGAGATGTTTTTTTTTCTGAGATAGACAAAAGTCCAGGGTCTGTCGAAATGTTACTGTTAATAAGACTGTCCCTAATTTAATGAATAAAAATTTTCTATTACGTTTTTTATTCATGTTTTTTTAATATATGTATGTTGTTATTGTATAAAGTTATATATAAAAATAAAGAACATTTTTATATCATATGTCGTTTCTTTTATTATATTAAACTGAACTGTGTGTCACCGGTGTTTTATTATACTGGGTGTCCCAGAAATAAGTGCAGATATTTGAACTGGTAGTATATTTCGGCCTCAGAAACACGCCAATGAGTTTTTTTGCGAAAAAAAATTGTTGAAAATTTTATATTTTTTTGAGATTTAACGAACATTTAAAAAAACTTTTTAGTGCCGCTCGTTTATTCACCTGGGATTTCTCTACGCACTGTTCGATTTTTATATGATTCAAAATAAAAAATATATAAATTGTAAAATTAGTAATTTTTTAATGGCCATAATGCGTTCTTTCAAAATCATCGAACAACTAAATCATTTCCATAGATCCAGTGACGTACCGTGACTTTGAATTTTGAGACCAAAAACTGAGAAATAATTTGTCAAAAAAATCATATTACAGCTATATGTTTTATTTTGCATAAAAATGTTAACTAATAAGTTAGAATAATTATATTTCTTCCCTAACTAAGTGGTTTTATCGCTAAATTTATCTAAAGCTAAGTACAACACAAATCTTAAATACGCTTAAAGTCAACAACAAATACATCGTAAAAGACTATTTTTGTAGCATTCTGAACGAGGATTCAAGTTAAACGTTTTAGAAAATAATTTAAAGGAAAAACGAACCTGCCCGCAGATGCTTGTTCCGAGTAAAATCCTAGAGCTCTGTGATTTGCTTTTATAAACTCTGGCACATGATGCAGAATTGCATGAATCTTTGGAGTTATCTTAATACCTAAGTTGAGTATTTCCAATCTAAATTGTTCGATGTCATGTTCAAAATGTTTGTTTAGTGCTTGACCAAAACAACTCGAAACTACTTGATTGAATGCAGAAAACACTGCAATATATTTATTCCTAGAAAAAAAGGGATGTTTAGGTTTTTGCTTCTAAAAACTTTGAATAGGACTCTTTACCGGGCGATATCGTCTTCAAAATATCCACTTTCTTTAAAAGTTGTCTGGCGTTATTTCCGCTACATTTTCCATATAATGATCTAGTTTCAATCCCGCTTTTTTTTATCCATTCTGTTGCAACATTGGTATTCTCCAATTCAAGACAATCAAATAGTTTTTGAACCACACCTAACAAAAGGTGAAGCTCAGGAGGGGAAATATACTTTAAGACAGGTATTTCTTCGTCACCAATGATTAAAGGTATGTTTATACAGTTTTCTAAAAAATAATTGCCCTTTTTTATACGGTTCATTGAACAACAGTTTAAAAAATACAAAAAAATTAAACAAAATATTCCAAACTCCAAATATAGTCCAAAATATTTCAAACAAAAACGCTTACTAAAATCTTTAGCTTTTGTTATATTTCCTCCAGATTGTTGTCATAAATTTGTATTTTCTGTAATACTTTTTATAGTTCTGAATGATCCTTTAATTTCCATTTCCTTTACATTTACATCACACCATGGGCAAATGTGAGTGGATGAATTTGACTGAAGACCAAGGAGAATCATGATAAGCTTAAAGTCAGCGGCAAAAGTATAGGAACAAATTCCACATATGGACTGCAGATCTAACGTCTCAAAGAGGCTTTTAATGTTAGCATAAGATTCAGACAACTTTGGTCCTAAGCCAATTATGAATAGTTTATTAATTCCAGCACTTTTATATTTCTTGAAATATTCGGGATCATTTTCAGGGAGCACATTCAGACAAACTTTAAGTGATCCACCACCACTATCAATGCCAATTTTTAGATGAAAATCTTCAGGTAATTCTCAAATTTCCAAAATATATGATAGAAGACCAGATAAATCTGAGCAGTATACAAAAATTAATATTAACTGAATTAACATTTTTCCTTTAAATTATTTTCTAAAATGTTTAACTTGAATTCTAGTTCAGAATGCTACCAAAATAGTCTTTTACGATGTATTTGTTGTTATAATAGTCCACGTATTTAAGATTTGTGTTGTACTTAGCTTTTATGCAAAATAAAACATATAGCTGTAATATTATTTTTTTGACAAATTATTGTTTCAGTTTTTGACTTTGAATAAGAAGACTAAGGAAGGAGCATATCAAAAATCTTAGGTACACCGCGATGGGCCTCAAATATGGCCGACTTAAATTCCGGTTTATCAGTGCCGTTCTAATTTTATTTAAAAAATGTAAAACTATGATGTAGGGTAGACTCAATAATTTGTTATTTTATTTTACGTTGTGAATAAATGTTGGTAGTTATTAAAATTGTTATAAAAATATATAATTCTAATAAAAATAGATAAGTTATAATAAGTATTTATTAACACAAACATCCGATACGCTACTGAAGCAGGTAAGTCAAATTAACGTATCAAAATTCTTTTGACATCTGATCTTTGACAAGTAGTAAATAAAAGCTAAAATGCAAGAAAATATAAATTTAGTTAATTTAAGTGAATTTCATAAATGATCGGTTTACTACACGTATGTATATTATATAGTTACTACTAGCGAAAAGTTGTTCCATTATTTCACCTCAATTTTACCGAGATCTACCGCACGCTACACAACCAACAATTTTAGAGTCTTTTTCGATAAATCGCGATAATGTCACTGTTAATTTAAGTTCTGCCACAATTTCCATCTAGATTTACTACCTTTATACAACTATCAGTAGTAGAATAAATAATAAATAACATAAAATAAGCTCCGTAAAGACTGACAAATCCACAAAATTTCAAATCAAATTCAAATGTGTCAAATGAACCGTCAAACACAACTGTCAAGGATCCCCACCCTAGAAAGCTTTTTCCGCCCACCATGCATGAATACATGGATAGCATTATGCTCCTTCCTTAGTCTTCTTATTCAAAGGTTTTTGATCTCAAAATTCAAAGTCACGGTACGTCACTGGATCTATGGAAATGTTTTAGTTGTTCGATGATTTTGAAAGAACGCATTATGGCCATTAAAAAATTACTAATTTTACAATTTATATATTTTTTATTTTGAATCATATAAAAACCGAACAGTGTACGGTGTATTTGCAGTATTCCATATTCAACATATTATTTGTATTCACTGTAATTTTAAATTTGTACACAAAAAATTACTAGTATTAATTCTAATCATATCAGTGTCTATTACCCTTATAAACAAGGCTATTACTAACAATTGTAGAAACAAACTACATTAATTATTTTTACCCATACCACATTCTTATACTTATTTTTAACTGCATATGCTTAAAAAATAACTCTTAACATTGACATATTACGAAGTACCATATGATCGAAAAAAAATGGCGTCCAGTTGGCTGGGAAATGACAATCGCTGACATTTCCCATATAATTTTACATATAAAATGACAGCGATCTTCATTTCATAGCCATCGCTGACGCCGTTTTTATTCGATCATACGGTAGTTTCAATAAAAAAAAACATTCTTTTAAATATTTTGCTTGCACTTAGGGCTCGAACACACTGACGACCAGGTCGCACCGGCCAGGTCGCACCTACCTCTAAAACCATTAAATCAAATGATATAGCGCACACTAACGTCCTGGCCGTCCGTTGGTCGTTGCGACCAGTAGACTGCACTAAAATATTATAATTTTCTGCCGCTTGTTGCCGGTTTTCTTCCAAACTAATAATTTTTTAGATGAAATCCCTCAAATTCAACGCACAATATTTTATTTTCCATAAGATATAGTGTTTTAGTGTAGTTTATGCACACGTGCAGAAAATCCAAAGAAATAGTATACAGACTGGATCAAAGAGAAACTATAATCTAGTCCTTTTTTTTATCAAGGGTCGATTCTAGTAAAAATTCAAAACATTTTTATAATATGACATACTCTATGTATGGTTGGTATGATATCTGTTATTATACCTTCCTGTTATTATACCTTCATATTTAAGGTTTTTCTACAACCACTTGTTTTTTTTATTAAATTAAAATTAGTTTTAGTTGTATTGTAGTCATGTACAAGGAGGACAACTGTATTTTAAATATTATATTTGATTTAACGTTTTTCAAATAGGGACCATTATATTTCTACTAGGTACATTCTTTTTTAAAAAAAAATAAGAGTAAAAGTAACTTAAACATTAATAAAAATTGAAGTATTTACTGTTGTAGATTCTTAGTAACAATAAAAAAGAGGAATTTATATTGTAAACATTGAAATAACTGGAAGCTAAACTTTCTACCTGTTTATATTTAGAGTCAGTGTCTGACGACCTTTTTTACGATGGCCCTAATCAAATACGTTTTAATAAAATATACGGAGAGTACCGCTTAAATTCCTGTCCCGATGTTGAAGGATGGCTATAGAATGTCAATGCATTTCCTACATAAGTCTATCCTTGTTCGGGAGGAGGTTTTCTGCGCTTGCTCGATCTGTAAGCACTTTGATTGGACAGTTCCAAATCATATGATATGTTTTGTTTTGGTTTTATTTATTTTGGTTGAGGTTAAAGACGTTCTAATAATTGAATTAAAATCTTTCGAAAAATTGGAAGTTTTTGTTAAATATTCTGAAATCAAATAAGTTTGATAATGTAACATTATGCGCATATTTATCAATTGAGATATTTTAATCGTATCCAACATGTTATGGCAAAACACTTTTTCGACCAAAAGTTTTGAGATATCTTCGATTTAGTTATTTTCGAATGTTTATTTTGTTTATATCTATTACAAACTCAAGGAGCAACAGTTTTTACAAGTAGTGTTAATTTTGATGCTGGTGCAATACTTCTACTCGTTAAAATAAGTTTATTATAAATATTACAGACATTTAAAAGAATAGGCTATGGAATAGGTATATAAAAATTATTTTATATCTGTCTCACAATGGGGGCTCCTAGTAGCGTAATAGGTATCTGCAGTGCGATTCTGTAAACATTTCCCTGTCTAGTGACTCATCAATCGTATACAAATAGCGCATAGGCTCGATAGGAAATTTTCTTGCTACAG